AAGTCACTCAGCACATTGTGCCGAAATTATATTCTACACAGCTTGGCCACATCCATCGGCACATTGTCGGCATACTTTCGGCACAATCTCGTAGGCATTATATTGTTGTTAGTAAAATGGGAGCACTGCTGAACAACTGTCATTCAAGTTGTTCAGAACATTACGTGCTGTTTCACTGTATGTTCAGGAACATCTTCTAATCGAATATATCAGAGGAACTCAGACCAGCAGTTCTCTTATAGATCTAAATACGAAATGTAGGTTCTAGAGTGGGCTCAAGAGAAAGAGGCAGTTAATCAGACCTCATTAGTGGCTTTTATTCTAACTAAACAAACTAAAGAAGTTTATTCATTTTTTATTTCATAACCCTCTATTAACCCATAACCCTCTATCATAACCCATTCATTATTTCATAACCCTCTATAGTCGGTTTCCAACAATGCTCCCCACCGGTTCCAACTCTTTCCGGCCGAAAGGTTAGGTTTCTGGTCTGCCTTTGAGGGCATTATAAAACCGAGTATAAAACACTAAAACACAGGACTTTTACTACCCTACGGATCACAAATCACCGAAATTTCGCACACTGGCTACTTCCCGCGTCATACTCAATCTTGCAATTTCAAACCAAAACATTCAAGGTGTCAGAAATACCGGGTTGCTGGGATGGGTATTTTACTAACAATCGCAGCTTGCTCTATGACCGGCACAATCGGCGTACTTGCGACACACTGACAAAAAAGATGACCCAAGATGTCTCTTTAATAAAGATAAAAAAAAAGATGACCCAAGATTGGTGTGCGGAGTGACCTACCCCTAGATAAGATCGTAGTTTTGATAAAACGTATTTAGAGTTGGTTGGAAATGCTATATCAAGAGCCACATGTGAAAAGGGCATACAAGCTTTTTGTCAGTGCTGTAAATTCTCAAAATCATTTGAACATTTTTGATGAAAATGAGAAAAGTAGCTATTCGCTATCAAAAGGGATCTCCTCCGAACGGGTGATATCAGTTGCTTAGTCATTTGACAAAGGCATGTATCATTCTCATTTGAGAAGCGCTATTTATCATTCAATTGAGTGTAACCTACACATAAACGGAGCTCTGGTCGACATTCTGGCGAAAAAGCTAAGCCAACTCGACACCAATCTGACTTCTATCAAACCCCAACCCAATGTTGACCCGACATTGACCCGACATAAACCCAAAATTGACCTGACAACAACAAGACATTGGGTCGAAATCGACCTTAAATTAGCCTTACATTGATCTGACATCGGGTCGACTTGTCTGTTCGGGAACATTATGCTGGATTTCTTCCATACTCCACTGTCGTATATCAAATGATAGTGAGTGACTCAATTGACAGTGACAATGAGCTTCGAATGAGAAAGGGGCTCTTCAAATTATGGCACAGGAGTGGAACTTCGGATCAGAAAGTGGCTCCATTTGTCATTTGGAAACACTAGCGCATCTAGCGGTAGAAGGCATCTTCTGCCTGTAGTTAAGATAGGCAGCATCCTATGATAGTGTGAGTGCACATAGAAAGCCCGTGTGGAACGCTACCACAATACATCGCTTGTTGAGCAGAAAAACGAAGCACCTTTTGATTCACCGATTTGTTTGCACTTCCCCTTCTGTTCTGTGATTATGGTCATGTGAGAATTCGTTTACACAGAATTGATTGAATGGTTGCATTGGTTCATCTTCAATCGAATGATATGAAAATTTACAGCACTGCTTTTTGTAAACAAATCTTTGTAGGCCCTTTTCTCGCCAACCGAGGGCCACCCACGGAAGCCAACAACATCATCGGGAAGGAGAAAGCTTCCCCTACCTGCTAATGTTGATGGTTTGTGTTGGTGTCATATGGGGGCGAGAAAAGGGCATAAGAAGGTTTGGTTACAAAAAGCTTGTATGCCCTTTTCACATGTTGTTCTTGATCTGACATGAAGCTTTAGTGTGGTAATTTATTAGCTAGATAAAGGTCTGAAGAGGATAGGTAGATAGTTCCGCTAGAGTACAGTAGCATGAAAATTGAATAGAAGTCTGAAAATGAGCGAGGCGCACTTTTTTGCCTGTACATTTGAAGAAATACTTCATCAATGTATGAGTTAGGTAAAGAAGTACGCGTTTGACAAGTACTGTCGCATTAATGGCCCTAGCTCATTTTCAAACTTCTATTGCTATTTCATACTACCGTACTCTAGCGGAACTATCAACCTTTCCTCTTCAGACCTTTATCTAGCTTATAAATTATTACACTAAAGCATCATGTTAGATAGCATTTCCAACCTACTCTGAAAATCGTAAACTTCACGTATGAAGTAACATAAAAACACTTTGAATGTAAAATGTATTGTTTTCTAAAATTTACACGAATAATATATGTGATTAACGCCTGATAAACAAATGATGCGACACTATCAACTCAATAATTTAAATCCTACTAAAACCCACGATCTTCTGCTCTGCAACAAAAAATATTCAGCCTTAGGCCACAAACGCCTTTACAGCCCAACTAAGGTTGTCATTACCGAGTATGTTTCCCGAAAACCGGTTTTTAGTATTGCGAAATGCAATACCGGTAATGGGCAAATTTCACCATGTATGCAAAGTGCTATTGATAATAAGAAAATTTGCTATTCTCCTCCCATTAGTTATGCAACCGAAATGATTGAGTGCTCATAGATTATCCCAAGTTACCAAGAAGCCCGCTAATTGCCCTTTTGCTATATACGACTGATAGTTGTAGTATTCCAAAGTTAGGAAGCCCTATACTGCCCATAAAAGCATAACAATCTCATATTTGCTTGATTTCCCATTCAAAGGGGACTGTTTTTTCGTGTATGGGTAGTAAGTATATTAACTATAAAGCGCAATTCGCGGGCTTGTTGGTTACTTAAGATGGGAGCTAATAGGTTCAACGCATAATAATGTGTATCAACTTTCCTCAAATCTGTAACATGACCCATTTCATGAAGTTGTTCACCGCAATTTTAAACTACATTACTACAATTCTGTGTTGGTATTACTTTAAATTGAGAATGTCTAAACACAAAGCTTGAAGAACATGTTTGAAACTATCTGAGTAATTTCAAAACATTTTTACCAACAGGAAAATTTCTATTCAGACAAGGTTAGAGTAGAAAAATGCTATTTTTAGGTCGTGTTTATAGTAGCATTTATAAGTGACTATATTCGATACTCTTGATTGTGAAACAAAGTAAACCCTACTTACTTTCTATTGGTGCACAAACCACTGCTATATAATGAAGTTTATTATAAGTTTCTGCGAAAATCTGCGTGTTACTTCACCTGGAAAGGAAAACACAGTGCAGTATTAACGGTAGGGCGATGGTGAACTAAAGCCAGGATCCCCAATTTTAAGGGGGCTTAGAGACATTAATCATATGCTTCTCAATCATAGTTTCAAGAAATTAATCGTTGGTTTGTTTTGTATTTGTATCGAACACTAAAGCTTGGAAAACAATAAATCATAAGAGTTGATAACATGAAAACAAAAACAAAAACTCTAACATTTACTGTCAGATTACAGAAGAATATTAGAGCAGTTTTGCCGGTAGCGTGGCCAAAATCTCTGAGCCGTGGGCATATTTTCTACAGCTCTACGGTCTTCGACAAAGTAGCTCGGTTTAAAAAACCAAAATGTTTGTTTGTTCTTCTTCTTTTTTATTTAATTAGATTGTTTATTTGGAATGCTCAAACGAATTAGCTATACGGAGCCGATAATTCTTTGTAGCAAAATTTACTTAATTCTATGTCTAGTAGGAGCTGGGCCGAATATTCGTGGCTTACTCCAGGTTAGAGGGGTACATCGTTGAAAGATAGGATCAGGGGAGGAGCTTGGGGTGAGGTTTCGTTGTCTCATAGAGTGTTGTCGCCAGTATGAATATGCCCAACTGTATTTTTTTCGTTTGTAGTCAAAACATTGTTATTTAAACCTACGTAAAGTTTATTGGAATCTATTCAACCACGAAAAAAGTTACATCAGTTTAATTTTATTTTCAATTTATAAGGAAATTTATTAGTGATTAAGCCGCGTCAGTTATTATTTTGCGGTCAACAGTTCCATCTTCTCTGATACAAAATACTCACATTATAGTGTTTGAGATTAAAATAAGAGATTGAAATAATAATGACTAGACAAGATAAAAATTACAGCTCATTTCCGTTTGAAAATGGTAGTCACACCATTTTACCAAATTTGCTCAAACTTCGTACAAACTCGGCCAATAAATCTTGAATACTTGATCCACCAGTTGACAATATTTCAGAAATTGTAATGAACATGCTAAAAAGTTTCAGCACTATATAAATTTTTGGTTTGACAAAAAAGTTACAGTGATTAATTTATTATTATGGTATATTCCATAATATTCCATATTATATTTGAAGAATACAACTCTTTTTAATCCGGCAGCTTGAAAAATCATTCAAATGATTTAATATTAGCTACGATTTATTGAAAACAAGATTATTTATACTTTTAAATTTCTTCTAGCTCCAATATCTAGTTTATTTTTAAGTAGCAATGAAACCCAGTTGATCCACATATTGTTCGACCCTTTTTTTAAATATGTTTTCGAAGATTTATGAAAATTATCTTCGTCATTATAAAATTCTATTTTATCACAACAATTTTCAAGCAGTTTTTCTTTTTCCATAGATTCCATGTATCCAGCTTCATGAAATAATAAACCCTTCCGAGCACCGCTGCCTGCAAACACCGCTGCCTAGCACCACACTCTAGCACTGATCTTGGACAAGTCCAAGTCCGAATGCGTCGCGGCGCTGCTCGCTCGTTGCTGCAATAACATTTCGGTGTACGCCTGCGTTCACCATCAGCCAGCTGATTTGCACAACCTTTTGCACGCTAGCGCTCACACAGGTTTTGGAATCAAATAAGCTTCGTGCAACAGAGTCTGGTCTGGCTGTTGTGGTGCACCGATCTTGTCTTGAGTCTTGATCCGTATAATTACCTAAATTATTGTTCTCTTTGGCGTCATCGCATCGCTCCACGACCCGTATGATTCCGCGTCCGGCGGTCTTGGGAAACATCATCGTTGCTCCCATCTCTGTCAGACGGGCCACAATTGTGCTACTGTTGTTATTGTTATTGTCATCTCCACTTCCGTTGTTGTTGCTGTTGTTGTTATTGTTGTTTCCGTCGTTGGACGCGGTATTGGTAATGTCGTTACCAAAGTGCGATGGGGGCCTCATTTTCCTCTGCTTTGCTTTATTCAACACTTGCCGAAAGCTGAACTATTTGGTCACACTTTAAATCGCACTAAAGTTTGATAAATACTTCACTAAGCACCTTTCCTGCGCATTCGAAGCACAAACTCGTTTCGAAAATTCCAATAGGGAAATATTCCTGCAGTACCCGCAAGAATCGCGCGCGCGTTATTACGAAACAAAGAAAATTCTCACTGCTAATTATTCCTTTGGGAAACTTTTCCACCGAAGACAGTTTTCCAAAAAAAAGCACTCCGACTATCTTCCGAAATCCGCGAGAAGGTTTTCACTGCTTCACTGTTCGCTAGCGAATGACTACTTCGATTGCTGGTAAATTGTTCAAAGCAACCCCGCTCCAACAACACACGCTTGCTGTGTTGTTTGTTCGCGCTGCATGCACCGCGACGCCAAAAGGCATGTGTATCTTTTCCTCTCTGTCTTTCGGTGTATGTAGTAGAACCGCATGTGTACTATACACAACAACAACACCAATTCACCTTTAGTAGCCCGACCGACGACGGTTGCTTTGTACGTTGAAATCCTTCCCCCGCACCAACACCCGCTATCCGGCTACGGCGGTTCTTGTTCGCCCATCAATCGCGCGCACCGCGAATGTATACAAACAAAGGAATCCTACAACGAATGACTTCTGGTTCGTCGTCGCAGTGAAATGACGCTGCATTGCCGACGTCTCTCGTTGCCTGTTTCCTCAGTCCAGTCGAGTATAAACAACGCGCAATAACGGTAAATTCACGATTTTCACGCCGCAACGCCCCCGCGTTATTTCTCTTTATACAGTCACGGGTTTTCCGCGAGCCATAAATTTCCCCTTTACAACCTCTTCCGAAAAGGCCCTTAAGTTACTGTGGTAGAAGGACTTTTCTACTGCGTAGTTCCCTTTTACCGATCGAAATTTCATCGAAAAAAATTCAACAAATTTGAAAACCTGACTTAGGCCTTCAAAAATTCATAGGAATGCATAACGTTTTGTTTATAACATAAAACAGAAACAGAACCAGAAACCTAGGCGCATATTTATGCGAGGGCATTTAAATTTTTTTTAATGACTAGCATCTCGTCAGCTGTTCGCAATCGTAGCAGACTACTGGTTGGGGAGGTAAAGTGGAATGAGTAGTAACGTAGACGGCGTTGAGCAAAGAGCACGAGCGAGACGGAACGAAAACAAAGAGAGTTTGTTTTGAGTCGCGTGCTCGCGAATATGTTGGGGGGTGGTGGGACACGGGGAATAGCTCGGTGCAGCATGTGAGCTGCCGTTGTTGTGTTTGTATTCACACGCATCGATGGGTGGACAGTGTTGCCGGGTTGTGTTACGTTGTAGGTAACTGAGTGGAGCTGAGGAAAATGACTGTGTTTGAGTCAGGAAGGTGAATTTGTGACATGAAATATAGTTTAATACTTAATGTAACTTTTAAAACCTCATGCTGAAACTCATGTGCCACACGTCTTCATGCAAGTGTGCCAAACAATGTAGACGCATAGTACATTGTTTAATATGAGCGAGTATCGTCTTGTGTGTTTTGAATGAAGGTTTAAGTTTAGGAGAACATGATAGCCTAGTCAGAAAAGTCACGGTTTTTTACCAAACCGGAGACGTTCGATTCCCGGCCCGGTCGAGGAAATCTTTCGGGTTGGACATTTTTTCGATTTTCCTTTGTTATTGCGCATTTTGCACCTTAGTAGACTCCTGCCCTCCCCATGCACATGGAGGATGACGGTACTGAAGGAAAGGGTTATGTTTAATTTCTTTATATTTGCAACGATGATGATTTCCTATAGTGACACATATCACCTTCTTCATGCTTCAGTATGCCTCAAACGATTAATTCTTGGTTGTTAATAGAACTTCCTTGATGAAATCGGCTGCTTCATACAGACTGAGCAATTCTGATTATAGTATCAGATTTGTTCTGTATACAGAGGAACTGGGAGGGCTTATTAGAAACTTCTCACCAATATAGTATTGATCTTCTAGTAAATTTTACATATAATTTTATTAATATTTGATTTTATTTAAGCATATAATTTTTGCAACAGTAAATAAGCCTTAGCGTACAATACAAGAGATTTAATATTTCTTGCTCGTTTTTGCGTAAAATTATCAATATTTATTTTACTTGTAATTACATTTGAAAGCTTTTTTCAAGTTTTTTTTTGTGATCTGAAAATTTTCTCAGTTTGGTTAGAAGTTTCGAAGCTAACACATGTTCAGAGGCCTAATAGAAAGATAGGCAGAAAAAGTGTATCATGAAGAATGGTTGCATGCAGGGTTGCTTCCACTCACTTGCTATAGATGAGTGATTTTCGGAGTTTTGAATTCGTTAGATGTTGTAGTGGAGATTTGTGTTGTTGGATGCGGGAGAAGATTGGAGGGCGGGTATTTGACGCATAGAGCCTGCCAATTTCGCTTTCAGAGTGTCGCAGTCAGCGGTTTTATGATTCGTGAGCGCTCGCGATTCGTAGAATCGTTGATAGTGACTGCAAGTGGATTTGGCGGGTTTTGTTTGTCGGACGCTTGCTTTTCGGCCTCTTCTTGTGTCTAACATGTGCAGAGTATCATTATAGCGTCTAATGGTTTTGAGATTCCTGGTTGCGTGAAATATATTTGTGAGAATATCTTTTTGAGATTTTAGTAGTTTTGTAGTTTATATTTGATTTCTTTCATGTAATTATCGTAAATAAAAGTTATTCAATACTAGATAGTTCATCCATATATTCGTACTTTGACGCGAAGCGCTGTGGATTAGGAGATGCTCGATGACCCTGGAGGGATCGATTTTGCTTACTGAGCAGAAAATCATGGATTAAACCCCATGCTCTTCCACAGCACAATAAATCCTCACCATCATTTGTATATTTGATATTGAACATTAACCTCACAAACAATTTGCATATCAAGCGAAAGCGTAGTCCTGTATTGTCGCGAAGCATTATGGTTCTGAGATGCTCGATGACCCTTGAGGGATCGTTTTTTCTTACTGAGCAGAAAATCATGGGTCCATCCCAGTCCCAAGCTCTCCGTAATGACTCTTAAAATTCATGATCACTAAACAAAATGAATATCTTCTTTCGATAACCGGTTATCGAGAGATTAAATAAACAATACATACTTTTGGTTGCATCACCAACTTGAGGTGAATCCTAACCGAATACCCTACCCAACCCTCCAGCTCCGTAGCACTTATGAGGGTGTCGCTAGATCGGTGGCCTCTCGTTAAGTAAGTACTACATCAACATTTCCTTCCCTATCCCTAGTTATGGTAAAGATGGGCGTGGCCGGGAATAGCGACAGTCATGCTTCTGTTACTCTTGTTAAGATTGGAACCAATGTTTACTACCCAGCATTATTCCTGAAAGTAGTGTAACTGAGAATTTCAGAAGACACGTGAGTGTCGCTAGTACCCAATCTACGAAGTATATCATAACAACGCTAACGCTATTTTGCACCTTAGTTGACTCCTGAGCTGAAATTATTTTCTCAGTCACGATCCCTCACCTCACCCACAGGTGTGCGTGCTTTGATCGTTTTTCTTGATTTGTTTTAATTATTTTCCATTTACGCGCTTGTCAGATTGAATTCAATTCCAGAACAACATGTGAAAAGGGCATACAAGCTTTTTGTAAACAAACCTTCTTATGCCCTTTTCTCGCCACCCATATAACACCAACGCAAACCTTTAACATCACCGGGTAGGTGACACTTTCCCCTTCCCGATGATATTGCTTTTTTGCGTGGGCGACCCTCGGTTGGTGAGAAAAGGGCCTACAAAGGTTTGTTTACAAAAAGCTTGTATGCCCTTTTCACATGTTGTTGTGGAATTGTTCTGTTCTACTGTTTTTCTATCGGCTTCATTCCGGAATAAATAGTCTGTGTACATTCATCGATAGGTGGGTATTTTCAAATATCAGTTGTGGAATAATTAATCAAATGATTTCCTCAATAGCACAGATTGCAAGAGTATGGAGAAAATCATAAACGGCGTCGCTTGGAAGCTTCGGAAATCCGGAAACAGAAAATCTGTCGCGTCTTTCCAACCCCGATGACGAGATGGAATATCCCGAAGATGGCCAAGGGCGGGAAGAACGCTTGATCTCTGATTATGATGATGACTCGGCCGTGATTGTAGATTATGAGTTGAATTTAACCGTTGAAAATCGTGGCTACGCTCAATCTTTGCTGCCTAGTGGCTTGTATGACTGATGGCTGCTGGTATCGGTTCGTGAGTTTAAGGGTCAGAGTTCAGGAAAAGATGCAGGTAAATGGGGAGTTTCAGGAGACTCTCTTAACTTCTCAAATGCGGCTTTTGAAAAAGAACATTGAGGCATTGAGACCGCTTTGGTGAATCATTTCTCTCAGCAGCGGAAGAAGCAGTCACATTCAACGAGTCGGATTCTGGGGCTTCTCTGGCTGGAAATGTCAGTAACATCGAAGACGTGGACCAAAGAGACTAATATTTTATGTTTTCTTTTTAATTTACCATTACAATAAAACTAATTGAAACCGAATTGATATTTCTAGATAGAGGTGGAATTAGAGCGTAACAGCCTTTGTAAACAATGACTTATATCGATGATTTTTAGGAATTCAAGGCATGCCCACGCAAACCACCCTACCCGATGCAAGGTTGCAAAGACTCATTTCAGCTAAAATAATGTTTTTCGGAATAATAAAACCAAAAGATGGTATGATGGCATGTTTTACTTGTAACTTACAAGAAGAGGTTACAAAGTATGCGTTGGAAACATAAAACCTGTAAATTTTGCTTTCTATGAGTCACAATCAGCGATTTGCTGATCGCTGAGTGAGTGAGTGAGTGAGTGAGTGAGTTTGTGAAAAATCGCTGATTGTGACTCTCATGAAGTGAAATAAACAGGTTTAATATGTCAAACACATTCTTTGCAACCTCTTCTTGTATCTTACCAATTCAAAATTTGATCATGGCATCTAATTATTTCAAAATTTAGAAAAATATTGTTTTAGCTGAAATGAGTCTTTGCAACCTTGACCCGATGGTGTTGTTGAATTGCGAAGGCGAGCCTTAACTTTCTAGAAATCATCGAAAGAAGTCATTGTTTACAAAAGCTGTTACGCCCTAATTCCAGCTCTATCTAGATTTGTTACCCAACGGTAACTTAATTGAGTTTTGCATATGGTATGGTATTGTAGGACGACCAAATTGTAGATAGCCAACGGGGCCTCACTTAGCTCAGTCGGTAAAGGCGTAGCTACAAAGCAAGGCCATGCTGGAGGTGGCTGGGTTCAATTCCCGGGCCGGTCTAGGAACTTTTCGGGTTGGAAAATTGCTCGACTTCCCTGGGCA